CCGGCATGGGTCTTCCCGCCAACGGCTACGACCCAGGTCAGGATACTTACCAAGCGCCACCAGAGGACCGCTCATCTGTCTCTGTCGCTGTTTCGCCCACCTCAGACCGTCTCCAACTTCTTGAGCCTTTCTGTAAGCAATACTCTTGTGCGAAATACACGGTGCATACTAACTTTTACAGCCGCCTGGAACGGTGAAGATGCGAAGAACCTCCCTATCCTTATTAAGTGCCAAGGAAAGACTACGACCGATCACATCTCCATGGCCGGTCCCTGGTTGAAGTACCGTGGACACTTGGACAACATCTCCAACAACATGTTGATTGGTGCCATCAACGCTGAGAACGGCGAGGCCAACAAGGTCAAGAACCTTCTCGACGGATCTTACGGTGCCGTCCCTGATGTCGCCCGAAACTACAAGAAGAACGGCGTCCCATGGGTTGTCATGTAAGTATTTTCCTATACACGCTTACCAGCCTCTTGCTAACTTCGAACGCAGTGGTGACTGGAACTACGGAGAAGGCTCTTCCCGTGAGCATGCTGCGCTTGAGCCCAGGCACTTGGGTGGCGCTGCCATCATCACCCGCTCCTTCGCTCGTATCCACGAGACCAACTTGAAGAAGCAGGGTATGCTTCCCCTTACCTTCTCCGACCCTGCCGACTACGACAAGATCGGTCCCAACGACCGTGTGACCTTGGCCTCCACTGAGCTCGCCCCCGGCAAGCCCCTGACCATGACTGTCCACCCCGCCGATGGATCCAAGGACTTCCAGGTCAAGCTTTCGCACACCTTCAACGAGGGTCAGATCGAGTGGTTCAAGAACGGCAGCGCTCTTAACACCATGGCCAAGAACGCTAAGCAGTAGATGCACAGAAGAGAGAACGAACGAAAACAATCACCGCCCGGGATGTAAATACAGGAGGACGGAATACCCCGCAAATGCTTCACGATTGGGGATGAAAGTCAAATCAGGGGTGAAGCAGAATATGATGAGAGAGCTAGGCGTCCGCAGACGGGTGCAGCAGTAACAGCTCCTGGATCGGTCTTTCGGGCTCAATGTAGTTGGGTTTGCTTGTATTTGTGATGATTAGCATGCAATGTATGACTGATTTTTTCTTGTTACAAGCTGTATCTGCTGTGATGTGAGTGACGCTCTGAAACGTAACTGGCGAAGACGTGTAGCGCTTTGGCTTGCGTACGCAAAAACACGAGGTATAGTTAAGTATACATTGCGATTTTCGCCCGTGTGCTGTAGTAGACAACTGCTGCGAATACCTCCAGGATACGTCTCATCGTTTTGTACAGCTAACAAAACTTACATGTATTTGCCCTGGCTACTCCCAGAACTCGAATATAGGTACGAGCTATGACATTCCACACGTTGCGCGACCGAGGATGACGCGCGCAGGCTAAGGCACGGTGCACGATACCGCCGCAAACGTGCGAGTGGATCCTGGACCCGTTCCCGCTAGTCACCGGGACAACGGCCGACAACAAACACGCTCGGCAGTTTTCCAACGTCTAGACATCCTTGCGCGAACAACCTTCTTGGAACCAATCGCGCGCACAACAGCTTGAATATCCTTACACATTACAAGATTTGCTTGCATATCCTCAACATGGCGCGTCTACGCAAACCGAGTCCGAACGAACCCAGTATCTTCATGCCACCGTCCGAGACGAGAGCAAGCCGATCCAGTCCCCGAAAAGCCACCCTACGATACGCATCTTCGCAAGAAGATGACAGCTCGATACTTGTGCCAAAGAGGTCGAGGCGCACCGCGCAAGACATTAGCATATCGCAAGACGAAGAGCAGTCCTTCCGCATACCTTCGATAGCAACGCCAAAGGATACTATCAGCCCCCGCAAGCAACGTGTATTGCGACCGGTCGAGAGCAATAGCCGACTCCTTCGAAAATTGAGTGACGAAAGTCTGGCAAGCCCAGAGAAGAAGCAAAGAGAGAGGAGAGTGCGCAGTGGAACAACAGATACGGATGTGGGGAATAGAAATGGGCTTATGTATGCCAAAAGCCTGGCTAGAAGCGTGGTGAACAAGCGGAACAAGAAAGGCAAGATCAATGTCGTAGGGGAAGTCGAGGCACAAGAGGCCGCCCAACGGTCACGAAGTAGGGAACATGAGAGCACAGAGGAGGCAGTCGCGCAAGACGACGAGGATGCCGAGGCCGAAACAAGTCTGTGGTGTGGCGACGAGGAAGCAGAGACACAAGAAGAGGTTGCTGAACCAGTCATCGAGATCAGCGAGGATGATGAAGAGGACGAGCCTGTCGTAAAGTCGCGAACAAACCAGCGACAACCGCGCGCACGGCGCGTCGTATCTGACAGCGAGGAGGACGAGAGTGAGCTAAGCGCACCACAACCTACCAAGCAGCCTCAGCAACCAATCTTCAAGATTCCTGAACTCAAACCGCCGACTGATCTGACTTCCATGAGACCACCACATCGAAAGGGTCATAGTACGATATCGAATTGGGCACAGGAGGTCGTCGACCTCACCGACTCGCCGGAGGCCCCGGAATCTTTCGTGCTTCCTGAACGCACCCACGCCCGATCAAGCTCTTTCGCAGCATCTTCTCGGCCTGCTAGCTCAGCATCGAACGGTCCGCTTGCAATTCTTACGTATTCGCCCACACCTACCAAGCAACGCTCCCCCCGCAAAGCTCCGCCCATCTCGCGACCAGCCACTCCTCCCCTGGCACCTCCCAGTCCCACCAAGCTCGTCTCGCCCTCGAAAAAGAAGCCCGTGATCCCCAAGGCGGTCGATCTAGACGGAAGACCAAGCCTCGACGCGTTCTGGAATCCTGCAGCTGTCAACGACTGGACCGACCGCCACTCGCCAGCTAAGCAGCTCGTATCGCCCAAGAAGCAGAAATGGAGGGACGACATAGCCAAGATGATGGAAGGTGTTGCTTTAGAAGACAGCAGTGACGAGGGTTACGAAAGCCCCATCGAGAGCCCCAAGAAGAAGAAGCCCACAATTCGGAAACCAGCTAAGGAGAAGACACCAGAGAGTGAGCCGGTCCCGAGTGTCAAGCAGATCCGTGAGCAACGCAAAGCCTTCGCCGAACGCAAGCACGCCATAGCCGAAGCCTTCCTCATCGAGCTCGACACCACAATCTCATCAGGTCGCATCCACGAGCTCTCGAAACCCACAGGTGGTATCAAGCTCGTCTGGTCTAAGACCCTCAAGACAACAGCCGGTCGCGCGAATTGGCGTAGAGAGCAGATTCGCATACGAACCGGTCCCCTTCCCACCGACACGCGCGTCGAGATCCGACACCACTGCTCCATCGAACTCGCCGAGAAGGTCATTGACGACGAGGAGAGGCTTTACAACGTACTTGCGCACGAGTTCTGCCACCTGACCACGTTCATGATAAGCGAAGTGCGCAACAACCCCCACGGAGCAGAGTTCAAGTCCTGGGGTCGCAAAGCTACCGTCGCGTTCGCCAGCAAAGGCGTCGAGGTCACCACGAAACACTCCTACCAGATCGAATATAAGTACGTTTGGGAATGCATCTCCTGCGGCTACGAGTTCAAGCGTCACTCCAAGTCCGTCGATCCGGCGCGCCACTCATGTGGCAAGTGCAAGGGCAAGCTCGCGCAGACCAAGCCCACCCCTAGGGGCGTTGGCGCTAGTGCTGCTGTAGGCAAGGATGGCAAGAGGGAGAAGAGCGAGTACCAGGTCTTTGTCAAAGCCAACTTTGCGCGTGTGAAAAAGGAACTTGAGGCGGAGGGCAAGGACGCGCAGATGGGCAAGGTGATGGAGGCTGTGGCCAAGCAGTATAGAGAGAGGAAGGGTGCGGGTAGTAGTAAGGCGAAGGAGATCATTGATCTAGAGGCTGCTCTGGATGATATGAAGATCTAGATCTAACAGTTAACGAATGAAGTGCATGAACATCTCTAAGCTTGTGGGTCGTGCGTCTTTGTGTTCTTTCGTGTTGGGCTGCCTAGCAAAAACGCAAGTCGCTTAAGAGTGTTGTGGAAAAGTGAAAAGAGGGATGCAAAAAGATGATGTTTTTTGCTAAGGCAAAAAAAGATGTAGGTTGTATACGGGCTCTCTAAGGCTCCTACGCTCAAGCTCCACAGGGTCGTAATACGGCCACGAAGGGCTCCCTGCAGATGTCTGCTACCGAGATTCGAACTCGGGGCAATGGCCTTTACACTCGCTCACAGCGAGTAGGATGGTTACGCTGTGAACAACCATAGCAGACTGCTTGATGGAGAATTTGAGAATTAAACATTACATATAGTTGATTCAGATCAAAATACAAAGTTGGATATGGGGATGCTGCAGCGCTGATCAAATAGTGAATGCGAGGCGATGTTCATCAGTTTGTATGGGGTGGAGAAGTGAAGGTGAAGCCGGCGATGGGAAGTGCGTGCGGAGTGAACAAATCTTAGATCAGGCGTACAGCTCTACTTGACTGCATCTGAAGCTGAAGTTAATAAGTGTTGGATAAGTTTAAGATTTACATTAGACTAGATGTGGTACATTAGTAACAAGTAGAGGTGCGTTGTATGTATACATTATTCTAGTAACTTAACTTTAAAACATCGAATAAGAACTGACATCCTCCAGCCCACCACAGCAACCTCCACTCCAACAGACCAAAGTGAGGCCAACAGGTCCTCACCACACTCTACCTAGACTTATAGCGCCTCGACTTAGGCCTCCAATACCCCTGATGGGTAGCGAGAAACCGACCCTTCTTCTGAGCCTCTGTCGGCTCATATCCTTCCTTCTCAGGAGCATCTGGCAACTCGCCATCAACCCCATCTACCGCTGTATACACCCAGGTCTCATCTATATGCCCAGGACACTTTCCACAGAACTTCATATACGGCCGGTTCCATCGCCCACACGCACAGCACCAGTCCCCGTCGTACTTGGCCCGACACGGCCACGGTTCCTCTATACCCGGGCCGGGTTCTTGCACGCGGACACTGTCCTTTCGGACACCATCACACGGAACACCACCTACTCCTCCCACGTTGCCTCGGCAGACATCCGTATACTTGCCGTTCCAAAAGCTGCAACGGCAGAGCCAGTCTTCTGCTCGAGGTATGTATGGGCCGGGAAGGCGACCTGCTTTCTTGGCGGCGCGCTTTTCCTCCCGTGCTGCATTAGCAGCGAGCTTTTCCTCCGCTACAGCGGCAGGACAGGGCTTTCTGGGATGGTAGTCGCTACTCGCGCACGATACGTGGCACCCCGGATCGGGATTCGGGTTGAGGTAGGCTGTGACGGGGCCAGGCAAGGTGGGTGCAGTCGGAGCTGCAGTTGGTACGACTCGGGGTACCTTACGGCTGGTGGCGGATTGGTCTATAGATATATTAGTTCACCATGTCTATCAATAAGACCATTGATCAGAGAAACGTACCAAGCTGGGAGGTGTCTTCCTCCGCTTTCCTCTTCCGCTCACTCCTCGCCTTCTCCTCCTCTTCCTCTTTCTTCTTCCTCTCCTCTTCCTCTTGTTGTTGCTGCTGCTGCTGCCTCTCCCAATCTTTCAAACTGGCAGTCAGTCTCACCGAACCCGCTCCAGTGCCCAAAAATTTGCGGCAAAGGTAGTCAAGGTAGGCCGCCACTTCTGGATCAGCCGCCGCCCTTTCGCGCATCTCACGCTCCTCTCTATCGGCCTCCTTCGCTTTGCCCGGAGGCAGCTTCTTCGCCTTTTCCAGCATCGTCTCAAAGTATGACGGCTTTGCGGCAGGTGCCGACGGCGCAGGGGTTTCGTTTGCGGCAGGCATTGTGGTTTGTGTGTGATGGGAAACGGAATTAAAAGCGTGTGATGAGAGGAGAGATTGGAGAAAAGTATGGAGGATGCGACACTGAAGATTTTTTGAGGTGAGCGTTTGTTGTGTGTTGACACTATTTCACTGTCACTCGCGGTGAGGAGGCGCTCCTCACCGCAACGCGTCACCGTGCAATTTCCCTTTCACCTTGAGAAAGACACGGGCAATTCCAGAGCCCTTACTTCAAACCCCCGTTCTCCTTGATACCCACAGCAACCCTCTCTCGACCTGTCCTACAAACCATGGATCCTCGTACGCTTCATCAAAATGACCCAAAGACGTAAAGAATATCCTTCCACCCTCGAACTCTTGACACCATACCAACGGATGATCATCTCCGTGTTTACCTCCTTGGAACGTCTTCGGATCACCTTTAAGCAAGATCTGGAGGTTCTTATTCTCTCTTGGATGAGTGTGGAAGTTATACCATTCGTCCTTCCAGCCCTCACGCCCACCACAGCAGTTCATGATCTGGTGTTTTTGGCCAGACTCTTCAGGAACGACGGTACCAGGCTCAGGATCGGGATGCATGTCGAAACTGGCTCCGACCAAGTTTGTGTAGTATTCGTTGCCTTGCATAGCTGCAGCTGCGCCGTGGATAGCTACGATACCGCCGCCATTCTTCACCCAGGTCCTCAAAGCTCCTAGTTCGGATGGAGTGAAGATGTCGTCGCCGATGTTTTGCAGGAGGACGATGACTTGATATTGCGCGAGAGAAGACGAGGTGAACAGCGAGGCGTCTTCACTAGCTGTGACTTTAAAGAGATTCGTATCGCTGGCTAACTTGTGGAACATGCGGATACCAGCTGGGATAGAGTCATGACGGTAGCCTGTGGTCTTGCTGAAAACGAGGACGTTGAATGCTGTGGCTTTGGCCATGTTTGCGCACTGTCTGGGCGGTTGTCTATGAGGCTTCGGCGCTTCTACCTAACCTGGGAAGTTATACTGTTGTGTAGCGCTACCGAGGATATATGGTTCATGGAATATCAACTAAATTAGGCTGATTTACCATCTACCGGCGGCATATGACGTCATGCATACCAGCACGGGTTGAAGACTAGGTACAATGAGTAGCTGGACCCAGCTGTCTGGCGGTGGCCCTGCGTGCAGTGCTGGAGTGAAACACGGCGCAGTAGCCAAGGTGTCGTATAATGTTGAATTCTTTGTCCACTCATGGCCTCGACGATCTGAAGACTACGACACACAGAAAGCACGAACTTACAGTCTTGCTGGAAAAGGCACCTCCCAGCTGGCGGCGATGTTGGAAGACGCGACACGATCTAGCGCACTTACCCTTGTCGACGCGCCATCCCGGTTCCGCTTCCCCCACTTTTCCATCACATAGACCCTTCGGCATCACCACCGTTGTCACCATTCTCGTCTGCCACTCCCCGCAGGACTCGCAGGCAATATATTCCAAGCACCGATGGCTACCCTGCATGTCACTTAGACTGTAGCCTTAGAGGAAAGCGTTAGGTTTATCTGACCAGGCAAACACCGCATCCTAGAGTCGAAACCTGGACTACTTTCAGCACCTTTCACATCAGGCTGAGTCAAACACTTCCTCAAGAATCCGATTTCTATATTATCTCGGATCATGGACACCGGAGCAACGGGACCAACTCACCCCGGCGATGTAGTCCCATATCCCCCTCCACCCGAAGCATGCGAGGGCGAAGCACCTTCAATACTCCAACTGCCGCCCGGGGATTACTACATTCGGGAGTTTCTAAGCCTGCTAGAACCCGCACATGCTCTGCGAAAACATGGCTACAACTTTGCACAGTTGACAGACGAGGAGATTCATCTGAAACGGAGATGCAGTAAATGCAATCAAAGTAAGTGCAATCTCAGTGCTTTGAATGTGCATATTGATTTCAAGAATATTGCTAAACTTCTGGTAGCTATCCAACAGCTTAGCAAGGGTCTACAACAGGCCATAACGCGCCGTAGCCAACAACTTCTCTCACATCCACCGGACACGCCCTACAAAACATTGCCAAGTATGATCGTACCATACGAGAACGGTACCTCTGGATTTCAGTATTGCACAACAGAGTGTCACTACCACTCGGCACCAGTTGACCGTGCTACAAAGGTGAGCGCAGTCTGGCCCTACTTTGCCTAACCCAACTAATCTTGTTAGTGCTGGTTGTGCTGCGGAAAGCACGTCTCGGAGGCCCAGCCATGTAGAACTTCCGACAAGCACAGGATACGTGAATACCGACCAGGTGAGCTCGAACGCCTACATCAATTCCAACCGACTCCACCTTTCCGTCATTGGGATGCGGACCGCAGGATAAACGCCAAACTCGCCGTAGCGATCGATTGCGAGGTATTTCCAGATCTACAAAAAGTGTGTGAAACATACTGACTTCTCACTCCCATTCTGAAGATGGGAACAGCCAGGAGTGGAGACTCTGAGCTCATCCGCCTGAGCGCCATCGACTACTTAACCGGAGAAGTGCTCATTAACAACCTTGTCAAGCCTGATCAACCTATGCAACATCTCAACACAAAGTGGTCGGGCGTTACTTGGGATCAAATGAATGAGGCTGTAAGAGAGAAGACCACGCTGAAGGGGAAGGCAAGTCACTCCGTATGCAAGCTGAAGGAAGACATGTACTGACTTTGTACACTAATTTCAGATTGGGGCGAGAAAATTGTTGTGGAAGTTTGTCGGTCCAGACACTATTCTCGTCGGACACAGCGTTCATAATGACCTCAAAGCATTGAAGTGGATACACACGAAGGTTGTAGACTCCTACGTCGTAGAGCACAAGATTATTCAGGAGAAGAAGGCAATCGAAGCCAGAGAAAAAGAGCTTAGTGAAGAGGCGGCAAGAAGGGTGGAGGAGTGCCTTCTGGAGGTCACAGGACTAGCGACGAGTAGCATGCTCACCCCATTGACCAATGCGCAGACAATGGGCGATTCGACCAACCCCACTGAGGGTGAGCCCAAGAAGAAGAAGAAAAAGGGCACGGGTGATCTGGCGTTGAAGACACTGCTAAAGAAATACCTGGACACGGACATTCAGACCAAGGGCAACAAAGGTCATGATAGCTTGGAAGATGCAACTGCGGCGCGCGATCTAGTTCACTGGATGGTTATGCGGAGACTCCAGGAGAAGTATGGCGTCCCGATGTAGCAGGGGCTAGAAGACGTTAGTTCTTTTTCAATGTTTTTACGTCTAATTACTAGAATAATGTATACATAGAACGCACCTCTACTTGTTACTAATGTACTACATTTAGCGCAATGCATACCTCAAACCCACCCACGGTCAGCACCTAGTAACTTCAGCTTCTCATTGTAGCCTTCGGCACTCTGGAAGGCTAGACTGGAACAATATACGACTACAACTCAGTCTTTTCAGCATCAACATTCAAGTCCCAATCAATGCCACCATCTTTGCCATAACGCTGCTCCAGCCATTCGTTGCACTTCCTAAAGTGACCGTTGTCAAACTACACATCGTTAGCACTTGAATCATGACATGCCGGAAGGCGATACTTACGAAGCCTCTCGCCGCACTCAGCGGGCTGGGATGTACGCTCTTCAGCACAAGATGCTTGTCCACCGGAATGCCCTTGGTCCTCTGCTGCGCCGGACTGCCCCAGGCCAGGAAGACAACACCATTCGTCCGCACCTTAGCCACAGTATCAATGACCTTCTGCATAAGCAGCTCCCAGCCCTTGCCCGAGTGTGAGTTTGCTTCGCCACGACGCACGGTCAAGCAGGTATTGATGAGTAGAACACCACGATCAGCCCATGGAGTCAGAAGACCACCCTTGTTCGGGGGTCGCTTGTAGTCTGGGTACTCCTTCTCGAGGGCCTTGTAGATGTTCATGAGCGAAGGCGGCGCAGGGTTCGGTGGACGGATGGAGAAGCAGAGTCCGTGGGCTTGGTTGGGGCCGTGGTATGGATCTTGGCCTGTGATGACGACCTTGACGGTGTTGAGGGGTGTGTGTCGCGACCTGATCAGTGTTAGTCTTCGTTACTCAAGCTGGCACCCGGAAGATGTGGGAGATCGTACCAGGAGTACACGTCCTTCATCGGCGGGTATACAGTCTTCCCACTGTCCAACTCCTTCTTCAGGAACCTCTTCAATTCGAGGAATTGGGGTGTCAGCAGCACATCCTTGACATGCGGCAGCCAGCTCTCGTGTAGCGTGTCGAGCTCAAGTTGTAGCAGCTCTTTCTGCTCGTCTGTGAGTTTGGCGACCCATGCATCTCTATCGAACTTTGCGGCTGCAGCAGACTGCTTGGGTGGTGCATTGGGATTGGGTTTCGGGGCGCCAAAGAAGGCGGTAATGCTGCCGTTCTGCTTGGGCTTTTTGGACGCGTCCGTGGCCGCTGCCGCTGCTTTACGCTTTAGACTCATGGTGGCACTGTCAATCGACGTAGAATATGGGGAAAGCGGAGATGCGTGGAGCAACGAAGATAATAGTAAGGAAACTATGACGAGTCGTAAGAGTATCGCGACGATTGCAAGCATCTCCCAGCCCCAGAGATTCGCGTCGGGGACGTGACGTCGGACACGACCTGTCATTTCCGCCCGAGCACGTTGATTGGCCGCCGCGTGGCACAGCAACACGTGAGTACGCGCGACGCGTTCAAATCACGTGACATGACATCACACCCTGCCCTGACACAGTCCGCAACATGGCACAAGGATGCAAGCAGGCTGCAGTGGCTTCCCCCTCAAGATGACCGTTTTTCCGGCAAATCAGACGTGAGCGGACGTTTGATCGACACTAACATGCCTCGAGGTGGAGACTGAAGCCTGATGCAGGCTCGCATGCAGGCGTGCTGCCCGCATTTGTGACGTGTTGCCTAGGGGAAGCAAACAGGAGCGCGTACAGGTGAGGGGATATAAACAGACCTACTTTGTCTTTGCTTCTTCTCTCATCTTACAACCAATTTGACCCATATTCTCAAACTACAACACTCAA